CTTTTGTACGCATTACCAATTCACCACATCACACTCATTCTCTACTACACCTTCACTTCTACACAAACACATTTGATCGTTTCCTTTCTTCATTATATTAACACTATGGCATCAAATCTCTCTCTCGTTAACTTTAATACCTTCAAGAATAATGGAGACTTCTTGTTAGGTAATTTTTTTCATTTTCACAGCAGGGCAGTTTTTTCTATTTTTGATGTTTTTTTATTTACAGTAAAGTAATGCTCAGTATTTATTTATTATTTCTATTGGTAGTTGTTATACAATATGCAGCATTATGATGATTTCCTCTTGTTTATTATTCTTATTTTTGTTATTATAAATCATTCATTGTTGTATTGTATATTATGTTGTATTGTTTATGAGCATTAATAGTTTGTGTACTTGTTTCTGCTCCAATTTTTATTGAAATGAGATTTCTTTTTTATGCCATAGCTTTATATTGAATGTGTTACTATGCATTGATGTTTAAAATTTATCAAAATTATTGTCTTTATAGTTATTATTATTGTTGTCACAATTAGTGTTGTTTATTATTAGTATAATAATTTTATGTTTTTAATATTAAAAGAACTATACAATTAATTTTTGTTAATTTATGAACTTTATTCTGTCATTATTAGTATTTACATAGCTAGACTACTAACCTCATTCTTAATTTTTATATTCTTAAACTAAAAATCTACGTAATAGATTTTTTTGTAATTTTTCTGCTACAGTTTTTGTGAACTTAATTGAAACACTTACATTATTAAGAAAAAATTATTTTAAAAAGAATTTATTATAAGTTCAAAATGATAACAATAGCAACAGTAGTAATAATAATAATAATAAATAATAATAAGGTTACACAATCAGCAGTTATTACTATATTTTTGTTAGCCTCCTCATCAATTTTTATCAGTCACTCAGTCAAATTTATGCATCATTAACATTTAACCTTGTTATTGGAGAGTGCAACCATTATCACACCACAGACCGAAACGAAAAAACCACCAAAGTAAAGACTAATGTTTTTCCATCCCTAGAGAAGAGGAGAGATGAAAGAGAGAGAGAAAGAGAATCGTGGGCTTTCATTTTTGATCATTTTAATGTTTGAAGTTATACTTTGATCTCCCTGTATAGCAAAATACCCCAAGCTGAATTAATAAATCCTGGACCCTAATAGAATATATACATGTAATTTATTATTGATGAAAAGTGCGGGATAACTGGTAAAACTTACAGCTGTAATTATTGGGAAGCTAACAGCTAGTGATAAATTCTCATTAGCTACAAACCAGCCAGCTAAAGAGAGAGAGAAAGGATTCAAAAGATCACGTGACAGTCACATGATGACTCACTCATCGCTATCCCCCATATGATGCCACTGGCTAGAGCTGGTAGGATCACTTTAGGATAAACCTTAGGTCTGTTCCTCATGTAAAGAGAATAGACTGCAAACCAGAAAGTACTGACTAAGAAGATACCAGTGAAGTGACCAAATATGTAATCAAGCTCTGAAATAAAAGGAAAGAGATAGTAAAAATAGATAAGTAAATGTATTAGAAGTGGTAATATACAAGTACATGTATTTCATAAATGAATTTAGTACAGTATCTTACCATTGCATGAATGAGTATCATCTTCGCATAATCTCATAAATTCAACTGCTAAGAACTGAGTGCCAAATAAAAACCCAATACCCAGCGCCATACTAAGACCACTGCAGGACAAAAAGAAATTATACATACAGTACATACATACATGTACATATGATCATTGATTCATTGTAATGCAGTTAGATGCATGTGTACATGTACTTCTAATATTTGTTTTACTTACACAATTTTTCGTGGCCATTTTCCTAACTTGTCAACCCAGGAGTAGTCCTCATCTTTTCCAAGCACATCAGACATTGAAGATGAACTGGTTTTAGAAAACGTTATCCGCTCTCTCTCTTGGATTGAATTTGACTGTAACTAAAGGAAGAGAGAGAAAGAGAGAAAGGGAGAGAGAGGAGGAGACATATAAAGACTGATTGGCCTAATGTCGCTATCATTGAAATATCAAAACATTAATTAAAAACACTGTTAATAACAACAATAAAAAATAATGTTTGTTTTTGGCAAAAATAGCCAACTATCGTCAATTTAAATTCATACATGTACATCACGTATACATGTACATGTATATATGTGGTAGCAATAGGAAGCATAAAATAATCACAGACATTGTAATGTCAATATAGTCCATTCCCTCAAACTGTTTATCTACTTCCTTAAAATAACCCACTCAAAACATGACCTGACCATAATTTCAGAATTTGTGCTCAGAATCAGCTCAAACTTTCTACGCAGCATAAGGACATCAATATGTATCAGAAAATGTAATAAAAATTGGGGGTGATTTCGGAGCCATTTTTTGGAAAAAACCATGGTATAGTACAGGGAACTTTTCAGATTTTGGCCGTTTTTTTAATAATGGTCGTAACTTGAAAAATTCAAGTCGGAATCGCCTCAAACTTTCTACACAGCATAAGGACATCAATATGTATCAAAAAATGTAATAAAAATTGGGGGTGATTCCGGAGCCATTTTTTGGAAAAAACCATGGGCTATAGCCTTGGGTGCTTTTCAGATTTTGGCTGTTTTTTAAAACAGCTATAACTTGAAAAATTTAAGTTGGAATCAGCTCAAACTTTCTACACAGCATAAGTACATCAATATGTATCAGAAAATGTAATAAAAATTGGGGGGTGATTCCAGAGCCATTTTTTAGAAAAAACCATGGGCTATAGCCTTGGGTACTTTTCAGATTTTGGCCGTTTTTTTTAAATGGCTATAACTTGAAAAATTGAAGTCGGAATCAGCTCAAACTTGCTACACAGCATAAGTACATCAATATTATGTTCAAAGTCTCTCAACTAACGTCTTACCACTTTGTCGGAGAGTGAACCATCCAAAGACTGAGCTTTAGATGATACCCTTGCTTTCTCAGAGTCAATGAGAGGAGATTTCTCGGAGAACGGGTCTTCGTCTTTTTTCTTTCCCTCACTTTTCACAAACGACAGTATAATGGTACTAAAAGAGAAAGAGAATACACGTACAATAACTTAGAGTGACTTTAAAATAAACATTAATATGTCATATTAATTGCAGGACAAACAACATCATTAAAACAGCAGTGTTAATAAAACTAGTAGCTATAAGGTATAAGTAGCAGTAGTGAATGAAGTAATGCAGCATACATGTATATATGTAGTAAACAAACGAGAATAAAAGGATATGCATTATATACACTGTAGCTTTTGTATGGAAGATAAGGTACATATAAAGTTGATACCTTATGATAACAATACCAACTCCAGCAAAGTTTAATGCCTTGCAGCCAGAGTGCTGCTTTAATATAAACCTGTTGAGGAAAAGGGATTTAAAAATAACAATAAAGTTACCCTTTTAGCCTTTAAAATAATATCAATTTCTATCATTAAATATGTATACATATAAAAGCTTATTCGTGGGATTGGGTTAATTCATTCTTCCTAATGCGACAGGAGATAAGCAAGGTGAGAAGTATAGTAGTGGTCTTCTACATTACCATATCTACTTCAGACTCACTTTTACAAAGAATTGTCAACTAACATCATTTTAATTTTAATAATTATTATTATTTTTAATATTATTTTAGTTTTAATTTTATTATTTTTAACATTATTCTTAATATTATTATTCATACATTCCAGTGAACCATCCTGATAACATATTGGTAGCTCCCCATATAGTTAGTCCCATTGTTAGTCCAATAGTTTTTATGATTGGTACTACTAGTGCATTACCTGTGGGTGAAAGAGAGAGAGAGAGGGAGAGAGAAAGAGAGAGAGAGAAAGAGAGAGGGAGAAAGAGAGAGAGAGGGAGAAAGAGAGAGAGAGGGAGAAAGAGAGAGAGAGAGAGACAGACAGACAGAGAGAGAGAGAGAGAAAGAGAGAGAAAGAAAGAGAGAGGGAGAAAGAGAGAGAGAGAGATTTGGGAAGAATTCAGAAAGAGAAAATGAAATAGGAGCTTTGTATACATGTACATATATCTATACATAAATGTATTGAGATTATGTGTCACATGATAATATGATGTTTATATAAAACTAAATCATGTGATCCATACAACAACAGTTAATACATACTGATAACAATCTTTTACTTCATGAATATACAGTACATTCATCTCTTTCTCTCTCTCTTACCGCTAGTCCATAGTACCCCACCAAAGAACACCGGATAAAAGAACGGTGGTTGATACCGTACCAGATTAACTACCACTCCAACTAGCCAGATACCAATACACAGTACCCATTGAAAGAACATCCCGTCACCTGTGTCGAACTTCTTCACTGGAATAAAGTTGCTACCAAATCCTAATATAGCTATGAGAGCACATCCAAATCCTATCACTGTATTGAGTGTGCTTGCTTTCCCACTGTCACATTTCGTGGTACTTATATTTATATTCCCACCTGCCACGTCAGCAGCTGTATTATAGGGAAAAAAGAATTTGAAATAAAGGAACGTGCTAATAGATTCATAAGTAAGCAAAATGGAGTGTAAATTGAATCATTTAAGCTTTATCAGACAATTATTCATCATGTCTACTTTATTAAAAAGAATAGATCTACACTGTACATGTATTTGTATCTTTACTTGTATCTCTACATCTACTACAAAACAATATACAAGCATTGGTTGCTTGTTTGCCTGGCTTGTTAGACAAACAGAAAAGGTGTAAGTATGATGACCACAGCCTTCTTCTCACCTCCTCCTGTAGTGTAGCAGACCCAAGAAGCTGGTCTTGAAGGTTTAGAATATGCATGCCCGTATACAGTGGAGCACAGCAGAGCAAGCAGGATGAAGATGAATATGGTGGCCTTTACTGCTGTCATTTTGTTGGAGGAAGAGGTTTTTTATAAGTAATAAGTTGCTGTCAGTTTGTCCCTGCTGTCCTGCAACAACGAGGCGTTTAGGAGGAGGAGAAAGGGAGGGAGCTAGCTGCAGCAAAGCAAGTGTTTCCTTGGTTACCAGCTTCCTCTCTCTATCTCCTCCTCTCTTTTGAATAAATGCAAAAGACCTCCACAGGTTGCAACACATGCAAGCAAAACTACTGACCTACTGCAAGGAAGAGATAGTCAGAGGAGAGAAAGGAAAAAGAAGAAGAATTGTAGGCATCTTGTAAACAAAGCAACATCTCCATAGGCTCCCTCAGGCTGTTTTGACTTGGAATATTTTAGCAAGGGACTTCAGAGCAAAAAGGAATCCCCACTATTGTAGCACATGAGCACCGGAGGAGAGAGAAAGAATGGCCTCCTCTCTTTAAGGAGAAGAAACACCTTTAGCGGAGGAACTAGCGGAGGCTGGAAAGGCAGAAGGAAGAGAAAAGACAGCGAAGAAGAAGAGAAACGGCTTAGCTGTGTATTGGAAGACATCAGTGCTTGCGGGTCTAGTTCTTCTTGTTCTCAACTTGTCGGATACAGGAGAGAAGAAAAGGTTTTCCCTGTACAATACAAGACAGAGTATAGTGGCAGGAAAGGAAGAGAGGCCAAGGAAGAAGACAACAACAGAGTTAGAAACGAGGCTGCTCTAAAAGATAAGCGAAGTTTTACCAAGTCCACTTCTAGTTGCAGCAACAGTTCGACGACTGCGGCCATCATGGCTTGGAGGGCCAGTCGTTGTGGTTCCCCTTCTACATACGAAACTTTACAGCACAATGCTGCTCCCCCCACAACTTCCTCGAGTACAAGCTGGATAGACTCACTCCGTCTCTTGACAGACAAAGGAGCTAAAAAGAAAGGAAACGGTCTCTTTGGGACACTCAGAGGCCGTAGCTCCAGGGACAAGGCCAGGAGGAACAGCTCTGAAAGTGTAGCTTCAACTTCTGGTGGAAGTGCTACTGGTCCACCAAGAAGTCCTCTACTACTTGGTAGACATTTAAATAACACTCCATCTTCTTCTCACCCAGAACTTGGGAGCAGCAATCATCATAAAAGTGGATCCATCAAGACACAGAAGTTATACATTGGTAACAACTCGAAACACTCTCGAGATCTACAAGGCCGAAACTCGACCGGTTTTCAAACAATGGACTCCACGGATAGCCACGACCTTGAGTCATCCCTCTCTCCTCTTTCTCTCTCTCTTTCTTATCGTGCCAACGAGTTTGGATCCTGTCACGAGCTCTCGTACGAGCACAACCCCTCATCAGTAGAAGACAGAAACATGTCCGCCATACGAAAGAGTACTTCTCTCCCACGGACTGTATTATGCTCACCGGTCCATACCAGACGGAATAAAGGCGAGAGACCAACTAGCCACTGGCTAATGCGTGACATTTTCGACCCAACAGTTTCCCCCTCTTCGTCTCCCCCTTGTACTTTCTCGACAAACGGTAGCTCTGATACACTTCAAAATGACACAACTACGCCTACAGATACAGACGAATGGAGATTCCAGCAGCAACTGGAACCTGTTCTTAAAACCGGTTTAACTCGTAGCACGAGTATGCCTTTCGAGTCAGGAGCTGAAATCGTCAAGGACAAATCTGTTCCATTGAGAAAGAAGGCTGTTATTAAAGATGGCCTAATGAAGGAAAGGAGTGCAGGTGGATCTGTAGCTGTGGAGGGAGGGAAAGGAATCAGTACAAGATTAACAATGAGATCTCAGTCATTTAATGCTCATTTCTCTGTTCATGCACAAGAAACAGTAAGTCCAACAGACGAGAGAGAGAGAGAGGGTGATGGGGCATTACTTAAACTGCATGTGCCTCATTATTCAAAAGTTAGCTACATAACACTGTACATGTACATGTATAAAATGGGGTCTGCCAAATCTGTTTCTATACATTCATTAATTAATTGTTTTATTATTTTTAATAAATTCAATAAGCAGCTGTATTATGTATATTGATTACAATCCCCCACCTTAGATTGAAACTGGTTGTTACTAATATTGTGTGTTTATGTTCATAGCTGGTTGTCATTATATTGACACTCCAGTTCATCAAACTCTTCCTTCTTAATCCTTGTAGCCTTACTATGATTCTGCTTATTCATCTTTTCCCTCTCTCTCTCTTCCATTATCCCTAACTAAACACTGTGTGTGTGTGTAATGTTATGTACCCTTGTCACTAGAGCAAGACATCAAACAAAACACAATCTACAACATAATAATGTCCCCCTATTGTAGCATTGCAAAATGTCCTTATTTCAGAGGCACTATTGTTTATCTTTGTACCAATTGGGACATTGCAACATTATTAAGAGTGTATGTTCTTAACAGTATGGATTAGATACATATACATACACGTACATGTTGATTGGTTTTTGTTTAGTTATTAAATTGATTATATCTTCACTGCCCACTGATTCCCTAGGGATCCTCTACTGATACTCTTGAGTGTGTTGCTTTGAGAATGAGTGGTTAAGGAGTAGGGGGACACAATCTACTTGTACATTATACATAATACATACATTAACCTTTACAATACAACATTTACATGCATACATGTACAGTGTATATGTATTAGCTGTCCAATCATAAAGTGGGCTAATGCATTTATCAACATAGACTGTGTATCTACGTCTTCGTCTTTGATTATAGTTTTATGCTGTTGCTTCATTTTCTTTCTCTCTCTCCTTTCACTTTCTCTCTCTCTCCCACTCTTTCTCCTACTCCTTCCTTTCTTTCTATGTCTTCCCTTCATCCCCTCACTCTCTCTCTCTCCTAATATGTAACCTCTCTCTCTCTCTTTCTCTTTTTAGGTGATCATGAGGGAGCATATCGTGAGGTTTCTCCTAGAGACAGAGAATTCTTACATACACTCACTGAGGACACTATCTAAGGTAAAGAGAGAGAGAGAGAGGAGGAGGGGGAGAAGGAGAGAAAGGAGGAGTATATACTACAAATTAATGACATTATAAAATAGTATATAAAATATGATATTAGTTAAATGGAGTAGACTATACTAAATGTACATGTTCATGCTCCTGCAGGTGTTGGATTAGAAATAGAGAGGGAGTTGAAATCATTCCCCATTATACTGTATATATACACAATAGGAAGTTTGATAAAGACACACTCCTGGACTAGATCAGTGCCTACTGTCCCCAGTCATAACACACAGAGACATTAAGTCATATTGCACGTGTACAGTCACTTCCAGTGTACTCTCTCTTTTTAATATGTGTCCCAAGGCTTCAGTCCAGCAATAAGTATTTATTAAAACTCCTAATCAGATCAGTAATGCTTAGCTTGTGTCATCTTGTCCCTCTGTGCTGGTTAAAAAAGGAAATTTAATGACTAAAGTCCTGTGACCTTCAGATTATACTTTTTAGTACCTTCAAAGCTATCTTTGATGTCTGTACTTATCCTTTAATGTACAGTCTCTATCATTATTATTAACAGGAACACTTCAGGCGGTGGTAGACACTGCTTGAGGTAGACATGCTTTTGACCAGTTTAGAAGTTAAACTTTAGAGTCAGTACTTGATATACAGTAGACAGACAATCTACATGTACATGTACATGGATGTTACTGCATGTACATGTACATGTATGCATTGTATTATAGGCTGTTGTTCTATGTACATGTACATACATTCATTTGTTTCAAGTTCTTTGATCCTTTTTGAGTATGCCCGTATACATTACATGTACAATGAACAAAATGTCGATGTGTCTACTCATCTCTCTTGTGTGAATTAATGTGAAGGAATGGTTTAGGTAGACCTGCTTAGCAAGACCTGATTCTCTCTAACTGTCTTTATTTCCTTATCCTCTTTCCCCGTAATGTACAAGTACATGCACATCTATGTCTCCCTCTCTCTCTCTTCTTCCTATCTCTTCCTTTTTACTTTTATTATTTCCTTCTTCTCTTGAAGCTCCTCTCCCTCCCCCTCCTCTCTCTTCATTCCTTTCAATTCTGTAATACATAATTGCTACTAGCACAGACCTGATTTAATAAAAGAAAGTATTGCACATTCACAATTTCACAATAGATACATGACACCCTACAACATGATGTCACACAACTAGATGTAATCATTCATTACTGGCAGCATGATGCCTTGAAAATAGAATTGAAAGCTCAGTATCTTTAATTTTATTAGATTCACATTCAAAGTTTTCATACAGTGTAGCGCTCCTCCGTAACTTGATTCTATTAGCTGTGTCTTTATTAATCTCGTTATGAAAGCATAAATTTGCTTTGCTGGTTAGCCCAAGCACCATATCAGTGCTTTTAACACTGTCTGCCAGGTGACATCATTATATTATATATTATATCAGGTTTATTTATTACACAATACTTCATTCTGAAGGCTATCCTAGTTCACACTGCTACTGTTGACATTGCAGTTCCATTCAACCTGCTATACACAGTCTAGCTCACTTTATATGATAATAATAATACCCATATTGGTCCACATATAGATACATTGCACATGTACATATAAAATTATAAAGCTATTGTTTCAAGTCTCTGTTTGTCTATACTTGTAGCTACTGCCCATATTGGGATTGAGCTGTGTATGTATTAAATATTTATTATAATTATTATTATTAGTGTTATTTGGATAGAAGGACATGTATGGAATGAGTTTATTGTCATCCAGTGGATATCATTTGGCACATTTTACCATTGAATGGCCAACAAGCATTTCCTCTCTAATAGTTACATAAGTTGTTGGAATGTGACTATTGTTCATGTATAGACTAGCCTCTATATAATGGACACTTTGGGCCAAGAAAGTGTCTCTGTTATACAGAGGTGTCCTTTATATGGAGGCTATTTTATAGAGTAAGGAATGTAATTGGTACACTAGGTGCTGTCTGTTAAATGGAGGTGTATGCTATAGAGAGTGTCCATTAAGAGAGACTATATTATAATGAAAGTGTTATGTAACTTATAAAATAGTTTTGATATCAAGTCTACATTATACAATATACTTTGGGATTGCTATCGTGAATTTGTTATTGAAAATCCTTTCCATTTGATTAAACACAGACCCAAATTGTTTAATAAATAAATAAACAGTTTATTTACATTTAAATCATTTATTTATTTAACTATGCATAAACATTATTGTACATTACATATATCCTAATATCCTAATCCATTTATATGTAATTGATTTACAGACCAAAGCATTAATTCACTAATAATGATCCTATTATAGTCAAGTACTAATGTATAGTACAAGTGACTCTTACAGTAATTGGTTTGTGACTACAATTATCTATAAATGCATTATTATTATTATTATACTAATCTCATTAAGAGCTGAAAGCCTTCAAAATACAACCACCTCATAGTCCTGGTCAGTCCTGTTGCTCATACTGTGGGTACCACTAATCAGTAATTACTAAGCCTCCAGCCCTGCTGGAGCTCCCTATAGTATACACTGTACATGTACTTATATAGTATATCCAATAGTGTTAGATCATATTGGGTTACTGTACTGTACATGTACATGTATTGAGAGATACTTAATTGTTGTGGATAATTATGTCTAGCCCAGAAGGAGCCTTAAAAATACTATCATAGTATATCATGTACATCCTATAGTACTGTACAGTGAATCGTTAAACAAGCACTCTATATCTCATTATTATTATTATTATTATTATTATTACTACTAGTACTAGTATGTAGTGTATCAGAATACTGTACCCACAAGATGTATTTCTCTGTACTGCCTTTTAATAATTAATTGTGTTTGTCTTGTTTTTATGATGTTCCTTGGTCTGTTCTCTCTTGTCTGTCAATCTCTTCATTTGTCTTTCATTTCATTGAGCCTATTGGCCCGTTCGTCTGATGCCACGTTAGCATTCTAGTATTGATGGTAGTTGTGCCTGTCTCTTACTCTCAGTTCCCTCCCTTTTTATATGCTAAATACTAATAGTATATGCAGCCGATTGAGAGAAATTTCTTAAGAATCTGGTTCCTAAATCACATCTCTCTCTCTCTCTCTTTATCATAGGATTATCACTCTGTTCTATCCTCCATTGATTGTCACTCATTAAAAGAAGTGCTTCCTTTAGCTAGCCAGCTCGCTCTGTGGCATGAAGACTTTGCTACTTTAGTGAAGGAGAGATTGGACAGTTGGCAAGAAGAGCCATCAATTGGGGACGTCCTTGTAGACACAGTAAGCCACTTAATATTACAATTGTACTATTATTGTGTCTAATTTATTTTATTTTACTTCTTTAGTTCTCACAGGATCAGTTCATGAAGATGTACAGTTCTTATATTGAACATTATTCCCAGGCCAGATCTTCACTAGAAGCTGCTAAGCTAAACAAGCCATCCTTATGCAAAACACTTGAAGTAATCTAATCCCTTTTCCTCCTTCAACAACCCCTTCTCCTTGCTTGAGTACATGTACATTAATGAGTAACAATATACAGCTGTTGTTAGCTAAACAAAAGCGCCTTTGTGCTCAAAACAAAAGTAAATAAACTACATTTCCTTCTCTCCTCCTTCCTTAAATCTGAGGCTTGTACATGTACATATAAGTAACATTACCCAGCTGGTTGCTGAATATTAATGTCCACGTGCCCACCACATGTCCTGTGTGTTGACCAATAGTACAGCAGGTGCAGTCCTTGTCTTGTTTCACTAAAACTTACTTTTATTCCACCACCTGCACCTTAATCTTTATGTGGTGTATATGTGTGTACTCCTCATGGCTTCTTTCTCTACTTCACAATAATTAGCTGTTTCTAGTGTCCATCTTTAACAGTATTTAGCGCCTGCTACTTATTTCAAATCTGTTTACATTGTACCTGTAAAATACATGCATCCACACCTTTAGTATATACAGTAATGTGTTTATTATCAGAATAAAATATTATAGTTTTATTATTTTTACAGTATATAAAACATGTATGTGATAATATTAAGTTATTTATTTGTTTATTTATTATATCTGCTGTAGGATCTTTCAAGGGAGAATCACGGTAAACTCTCAGTCGAGGATTTATTGATAAAACCAGTCCAGAGGATCCCTCGGTATTTGTTATTTGTTAAAGACCTCATCAAACAGACACACACTGGACACCATGACTATAGTGTACTCCAGCAAGCACAGGTAATAATAATAATAATAATAATAGTAATAATAATAATAATAAATAATAATAATAATAATAATAATAATAATAACAACAACAACAACTAGAATACTATCTTGATTAGAAGATTATATTAATAATAATAAATAATAATATTTTTTCTCAGAGTCAGTTATCGATGGTTGCTAATCATGTTAACGAGTATGAGAGACAGTCCGGTCTACTTCACTTGCATAAAGAACTCCTCAATACTGTGGAGGGACTCTCCGATGTAAGTGAATGGGCATGGTCAATTAATAAATTAAACGACACCTCTTTTACTACACACACAGGTACTAACTGAATCAAGCTCTTTGCTTAGATGTGATCAGATAACAGAAATTGTAAATTAAAATTTATTTTAAAAAATTAAAATTAATTTATTATATTTTTTAACTAATAGAGAGGAGCGGCTCAGAAGAAGGACAGATTATTATTATTATTTAGTGACAGACTGGTGTGTGCCTCCACCAGGAGGAGAAGCACTGGATTCCGCAAAGGATCGCTAATGTAAGTAGTATTTATAATATTATATGTACATTTAAATTAATAAATGAATGTACATGTGTTTTGTTTTGCTTGTAGGAACGTCAATTCACTTCAAAATGACCTGCTCAAGTATCGCATAAAGTGGTTGGGACCTTCAACAGCTGTGACCATCAACCAGTGCCACAGTAAGTTAAATAACATATACATATACATGTACTTATGTTGTGTAGAAAGTTTGGACTGATTCCGATCAAAATTAGATTTTTTACGAATTTTTAAAGTTGCTCCAAAATCGGGCCAAAGTCCCTGTACTATAGTACATGGTTGTGGACCAAATTTTGCCAAAAATGAAAGGAGAGAATTCTACATTTTTATAATTTTTTCTGACACAAATACATGTTTTTATGTTGTGTAGAAAGTTTTAATTGATTCCGATCAAATTTGGATTTTTTACGAATTTTTAAAGTTGCTCTAAATGCCATGTAGTGCTTGTCAGCTCATGAAGCTCATGCTGTTTAGCTCACTTAGCATGCTTTGTGGGAAACTCTGGTAACATTTTCTTTTTTCTTTTAGCTCCTCTTATAGAGAGAAGGAAATACAACACTTTGGAGAAGACGCTTCACAATCTCCTGGAAGATGAAGCAATTTTATTACAAATGATATCCTCAACTTCATCTCTTCACTCGCCCCATCAGCCACTCAATGCTGTACTACAGGAGATGCTGGGATCATTGAGAGATGTAATGTCTGCCAAGAGACAGGAAATGGATAATCTTCAGTTACCACACGAGAGAGCTAGAGTTGATATCACAATCCACAACAGGTGAGTATACATGTATGTACATGTACTGTATATGTACTGTATATATGTACAAATGTTCCATTTAGTCTTGTGGGGAAAAAGCATAGATTTAGAGGGCCATAACTTGAAAAATTGAAGTCAGAATCAGCTCAAACTTTTTACACAGCATAAGGACATCAATATGTATCAGAAAATGTAATAAAAATTGGGGGTGATTTTGGAGCCGTTTTTCAGAAAAAACCATGGGCTATAGCCTTGGTTACTTTTCAGATTTTGGCCGTTTTTTAAATGGCCGTAACTTGAAAAATTGAAGTCGGAATCAGCTCAAACTTTCTGCATAGCATAAGTACATCAATATGTATCAGAAAATGTAATAAAAATTGGGGGTGATTTCGGAGCCATTTTTTAGAAAAAACCATGGGCTATAGTACAGGGGACTTTTCAGATTTTGGCCAATATTTTTAAGTGGCTGTAACTTTAAAAATTCAAGTCGAAATCAGCTCAAACTTTTTGCATAGCATAAGGACAATAATATATTTTAAACTATTTTAATAAAATCATATCAATATTATTATGATAATTATCTATCTTCATCATTCATTTGTAGCTCTCCTCCAAACAAAGTATCCATTACATTCTCATCTCAGAAGGACAGACAAGACTGGGAACACACCCTGCACTCACTCCAACTCTCTCTACCTAAACAACAAGACCCCACCAGTACCAGCAGCACACACCACCAAAGGACACACACTGATCCTCCTAATACTGCTCTACCTCAGTTCATGTGGCATGTGACACTGCCATCTTGTAGAGTAGGATCAGAAGTAAGAAACTAAAGAAATATATTATATGAAATAAACATGTACATCATTTAAAGGTGCATACATGTACATGTATGTTATGACTATTACTATAATTAAGTTTTGCTTGTTTTTTATTTCATTACATATACATATACATATACAGTATACATGTACATATACATGTACATGTACATGTATATGTACATGTACATGTGTGTGGAGTAGTTGATATTTGTGGTAAACCATATGGTCTAGTGTGTGCAATTTGAAGTGGTTTATCTTATAGTAATGAGGTTTTAATTTATTATTATTATTATTATATTAATTCTTTCTATATATAGTTATCCTCCATTGCTGTTCCCAATGGTATGTACAATCAGTTATTTGTATGTATTAATGATGTGTGTGGGCGTGGGAATGTCGCCATATTGAATTCCTGGAATACATCAAAGGACACGCCTCCTCAGTTGGTGGCAACCCTCCCACTGTCCAGCTCAAGGCTGATCTGTTCTCTGTGTGTTGAACATAAGAACATCACACTGGCTAATGGTAAGGAATAGAGTGCTGTAGATTTATAAAATGAGCGGGAAATTATGAGCAAAAACAGCTGCATAAATAGTACAATACATGTACATGTATTTTTAATATTTTATGATTTAAGAGATGCAAAAATTAAGTTTGGTGATTGTTTTGATTCATAAAAATTATGATAAAATTGATTTATATTTTTAAATTTTTTAATAATAGCTCCTTCCTTTCCTGACAACTCTCGTTCCTCCACTCGCTTGCCTCTGACTCCACCCACTGCCCCGCCTACTGATAGAGCTCCTCTAGAACCTGACGAGTTACTCTGTCCTTCACCTCAATCAATAACTGACAGATCACACCCATCAACCCCGCCTTCTTCTCACAGGACTTCATCTTACATTGTCTCACCAACTCAAAAAGATTCGAGACATAAACTAGCTCCTCCCACTCCGGAGGGCAACCAGTGGCTCTGGTTGGGTACCGAAGACGGGATATTGCATGTTTTGAAAGTGGGTGTGGCTTCATTGCATGTATCTAGTTCGTTAAGTATTGATATCGGAGCAGCTGTGTTGTGTATTCATTCTGATGAGGATTACGTGTGGGTAGGGCTTAGTAGTGGTCGAATTGCACTTTTCAATCTTCATAAAAGTAGGTTTTATTTGTCGAAATATTTTAATATTATTTTTCTAATTATAGGTATTGATAGACCCGAGAGGTTCATATCAGTTTCTTCTTATCCAATCAAAGCTATTGTGAGTGTGGGGGCGTGTAAACTGGTTGCTACGGGCAACAGGATAGTAGGTGTGAACTCTGAAACACTAACATGCAAAGTAAGTGTCTGTATGAACATTTGAATGGATAGTACATGTAAATGCAATAATAGTTTACAATTATAATATTTTTTTAATTCTCAGTATTACCACTGACTCAAATACTTATCCTCTTTTATTTTATCTTTGCAGGAGTTAGTCAGTTTATCAGATCAAATTGATCAGTTAATAATTCCTCCTCCTACTGTTCAACCATCAACCAGTTCAGTCACTCAAACAAAGAGAACTCCAAGTCCAAAGAGTTCTTCACCTACTCCTACGACCAGCAGCAGCTCCAATGCTACTTCTGCTGCTGGTTTGGTGTTTATTTCTTTAAAGAACTCACTCACTGTTCACATATGCTCTTTTAACGGTGTCGTCATGGAAACTGTTCACACTGTTGATTGTAGCAGCAGTGTCACATCAGCACTGAGATGTAAGCATAGACCAATGGTATATGTACATGTACCTTTTATGATCATGAGCTAAAAACTGTTGCATTTAGTTATTTTAAAAATATACATGTACATGTATGTTCTTTTCATTGACATATTGGGTATGTACATGTACTTGATACCAAATTCATAATGTAAAATGTATTTTCTCTTCTTTCCTGTAGATTATGATCCCATCATTAAGAAACACAAATGCACCAATCCTTACATCACTTCACTAACATGTACACAATCTCAGCTACTGATTGGTACCTCCACTGGTGTACTTATTACACTATCGCTAGTGGGAGGAGCTAACATTCATCAGCTCCACCCACTAATCAGAGGTCACGTTGATAGAGTGAGTACCCTGGTATCAGTTCCGCCCACACACACTAATAGTAATTATCAAGTGTTTATAAGTGGTGGCCATGGGCTGGAGGATATTAATAAAGCAAGAGCTAGTGATGATGTATCAGAGACTGAGGGATGTCTTCTCTTTTGGTATTTATCGTCTACTAAGAATCAACAGCTGCACTGACTGACTATCACATGATTAATAACATTTTATTGTTTGTGTATAATGTATTGAGATAATTAGTAATTAAATTTGTGTATTACATGTATTTAAAAATATTAATATTAAAAGTTAAAAATTATCTGTCTACAAAAAATGTAATGTGTCTTTGATATGCCCGTAATAAGGTAAAGTAGTGCAAGTTTTTTTATGTTTTTTGTCTAGCCAGAGTTCCTCTAGTGTATCATTGGTCTTGAGTGATTCCATCAGTACCACTACTCCATCAGTATCAATGCTAGTACTACGAGTAAGATAAAGGCTACTGAGGGTGTTGTTAGTGCATAAAAGTTCAGCGAGTGACTCTGCACTAGCTGAAGTGATGCCAGGATTCTTACTGAAATGCAAGTATTTAAGTGTTTCATTACACTTCAGTGATTGTGCTAGTGCAATGACTCCATCATCACTTATTGAATTGCGAGTTAGGCTTAAAATTTTCAATGAGTTGTTGGTCCATAGTTGAGAAGGGAATGAGAGGATAATATCAGGTGTTAAGGATGAGGAGATTAAGTAAAATTGTGTTATATTTTTTGTCTCAAATACAGTTCGTAATATGAACTGGATACTATCTGATGATGAGCAGCTGATTTTAACGATTTCATGTTTGTTCTCCAGTTTACTGATTACTTCCTTACATTGATCTACTGATGGATTAGTGAGATGTACTCGCAAACCATCCGGACTCCACTTCACTTTTTCATCCACTTGTGCTAACAAATAATAACATACAAATTGTCAGTTAGTGCAAATGGTTTGATAGAATTACTATACTATTAACATACTGTCACTGTCTTCAAGTTTCAGCTTGACTAGTTCTATTTCTTGTAGTCTAGTCTCTGACTGTTCCTTCAATGAAGCTTCTTTTTCGAAATCTGTAGAGTTAAGAACAATACATTATAGTGATTTTCAAAACTTCATGACAAATTACCTTCTGTTTCTTTCAATTCTGTTTCTTTTGAATATTGTTTCAACATATTTTCTTTCTCTAAAAGTTTTTCTTTTAATGATGCCCTTTCCTCCTTCAGTTCATTAATCACTTCTTCCTTTAGAACTATTATTATAATTATACTAAAAACTATAGAAATATAAATTATACCATTAATGCTTTGACTCTTTTTAAGATTCATTTTTAATGCTTCTAATTCTTTTATAATGTTTCCTAATTCTTCCTTGACTGTTGCTAACTCTGTTTTAGTAGCTATTATGTAAAATACACAGATATATATTTCTTACTTATCAACATTTCATCTCTGTCTCTTAAAGCAGCTTCCAAATCATTAATCTGTACCAACAACTTGTCTGTCCCCTCTGTATTCTCACTTGGTATCTGTATACAATAAGAAAAAATAAAAATTGAAAATTAAAACTTCCTAATTATTACCTGAGTAGTATTCCATATAGTACAGTTGCCGAGTATAAAGTCCTTCAATCCTCTCTTTTGCAGTATCTCTATTTTACCAAGGACAGCCATTATCAGTGAGCCAGTGTATTCAGCAGGACAGTAACAGGCCAATACAACTGATCGACCAGTACCAACTTTATCAATCTGCAAGTGGTACTTAAATTTATTAAGTGGCTCCAATTCATCCAAAACATCATTGATATCCTGCAGTGTATATTCATCAGGATTCCAGTTGAAGATAAAGGAAACAGTTTCACATAAAAGACGAGATGGAGTAGCAACTGCTTGTAGCTCCTCACCAAGGCAAAGACTCACTGATATTGACTTACAGAAATTCTTAGCTTCCTCTTTGTAAGACTTAATGACTGGTTTAGCTTCTTCTATGTTGAACTCAGAAGCTAAAGCTTCAAGGGGACGCAAGTTAATGATATTGCACTTCCTCTTCAATACATTTAATACTTCACCAATAGTTTTCTTGTAAGAAAGCTGAGGCTCCAGATCAGGATACCAGATAATAATAAGCTCCTTCATATCTTCAATACTCAATTTCCTTTTTGTAAAAATACGTTTGACTTGCATAAATGCAGAGCCAAATTTCAATCTCATGTCTTCAAACTTATCCTTCATATCACGAGGGAAAAGTATTTTATGTCTATCAAATGATGAACCTGTTAAATTAAAAGTTGAATGTTAAACAATTTTGTATACTTTCTGAAGTAGTAAACTAGACTTGTGTTTGCAAAATAAATTTTGTTCTGTTTACCTTCAAAAATTAAAAAGTTTAACTCACTGTATTCTTCAAAGATAGTATCTCCAATATGAGCAGTATCTGAGAACTTCCTCAATACAGTAACAAACAACTCCAGGTGTTTGTAATTGGAGTGAACAGCATCTCGTACAGCTTTGAGGAGAACTGCTCTACTGACAGAGACAGAACCTCTGGTAGACATGACACAAGACAGGGTCTCATCAGATATAACCTCTCCACGAAGTAACCTTGCCACATGAACTGGTTCAGTAATTGACTGAGAGAGAGCACTGTAATTATTCCTCAATATATCACTAGCACGATCTTCATTACTGACTACTCCCACCTGTGGTTGTACTACTGTACTATCATCATCTCGAGGAATTTTCTCTTCTATCAGAAAAATAATATTCATAAATTGGTAATAACTTGACAATAATCAATATTTTACCATATTTGGTCATGATTTTATTGGCTATATCTCTTGTTTGTGCAACATTAGACAGCACTGTAGCAATATCTTTAAGTTTCCTGTAGTCACTAGACACTGCTTCTTGCATGGCAGTCAATAGAGTGGTCTTCTTGTCATCCAGTGACCTCCTCTGATCTATCCTCTCCATTTCATCCAGAGTAGCTTCACTTATACATCTCTTAGAGTATAACAGTTGAGACACTTGTACAGGAGAAACAAGAGCTTCATTCAATGATTGAATATTCCTTTGAAGAATAGAAACTGCCTCAGTAGATGGTGGTACATCTATAATAATAAAGATAAGATTGATGTTAGTTAGAGCAGCATGCTCAGACTAGCTTACAAATCGTTTCATGTAATTCCCTCAGATGCATTTCATATCTATGAGCAAGTGTAATTTCTCCCACTGCATCTACTCTCAATGCTTCCAGTACTTGTCTCCTACTAGCAGTAGGCTTAGTTTCCAGCCATAGATTGAACATCTCTACCGTCTTGTGGGCGTCAGTGTGGCCAGTGTGAGCTTCAATACTTTTCAATCGTTTCTGATCCAAGTCAAGCATCGTGCCAACAAGGTACCACTTAATGCTAACATTAACATGCTCAGTTAGCTCCTTTATAGTTGGAGTAGAGGACAAAAAAGCATTGAAAGAGATTTCCTTGTGTTGAGTAGCCATTACTTCCGATTTCACAAATAACAAACTTACAAGACACGCCCAAACCAGGCAGACCTACCTCTTGTTGTAAAAACATAAATGAATTTTTGCAGCAGCACTGAGCAGTGTAACATCAGCACTGAAATGTAAGTATGGACCAATAGTGCATGTACATGATGTACATCATGTAATCATGAACTAAAAACTGTAATGTTGCATTTTAAATGTACATGTACATGTTCTTTTCATTGATATATTGGGTATGTATATATGTAGATCTATGTATACATGTATTTGATACCAAATTCACAATGTAAAGTGTTTTTTCTTATCTTCATTCCTGTAGATTATGATCCCATCATAAAGAAACACAAATGCACCAATCCTTACATCACTTCACTAACATGTACACAGTCTCAGTTACTGATTGGTACCTCCACTGGTGTCCTTAATACACTATCGCTAGTGAGAGGAGCTAACACTCATTAACTCCACCCACTAGTCAGAGGTCACATTGATAGAGTGAGTACCCTGGTATCAGTTCTGCCCACACACTCTAATAGTAATTATCAAGTGTTTATAAGTGGTGGCCATGGGCTGGAGGACATTAATAAAGCAAGAGCTTGTGATGATGTATCAGAGACTGAGGGCTGTCTTCTCTTTTGGTATTTATCGTCTACTAAGAATCAACAGCTGCACTGACTGACTGTCACATGACTATCACATAATTAATAACATTTTATTGTTTGTGTATAATGTATTGAGATAATAGTCATACATCATAAATTAAAATTATGTAAAATTACTTCTTTAAAAATTTTTTTCTGACTACAAATTTTAAAATGTTTTCAATGTCCTTATAGTAAGGTAAAGTAAAACAATTTTTTTTATGTCGTTTGTCAAGTCTGAGTTCCTTTAGTGTATTATTGGTCTTTAGTAATGCCATCAGTACCAGTACTCCATCAGTATCAATGCTAGTA